ATAAATAGTTTAGATACGGTTTGTTTGTTGTGCTCCTGTAGGAGGACAGTGGGACTCTTACAAGCCTTTCACACTAACTGGTCATTTTATAATGAGTGCACAGCACCGGTTTATCAGTTAAAACTTTTAGCGAGTAGTAATGCACAGCTGAAACCTGTTCAGCAGCCTTACCTTTGGCAGTGTTGATGAAGTAAGGGGAGATGTACCCACGGTCAAACTTCATACCCTCAATGATCTCCAGCTCATCATGCAGAGTCTTCCCATCCTGGCAAATTGAACCAAACATTTACAAGCTGTCCTCAAAAATCAGACAGTAAATGTTCATTGGACGAGTAAATGAGGTTTTCTCCAGCAGGAGGAAATCTCTGAAACCAACCTTCACGGTGATGACTCCCTTGCGGCCAACTTTCTTCATGGCATTAGAAATGATGTTGCCAATCTCCACATCTCCATTGGCTGAGATTGTAGCAACCTGAAAGAGCAGACTCATAATTAAAACTCAAATCCCAAATGCCCGAGGCCCCATGGAGACAGCAGAAACATTACCATACCTGTGCGATCTCCTCGGGGGTTGTGACGGGCTTTGAAAGGTTCTTCAGCTCGTTGATGATGGTTTCTACAGCCATCATGACACCTCGGCGAATCTCCACGGGGTTCGCACCTTTGCTGATGTTGTCGAAACCTTCCTTGGCGATGGCGCGAGCCAGTACAGTGGCGGGGGTCGTGCCGTCGCCGGCCTCCTCGTTGGTGTTGTTGGCCACATCCTGCACCAGCTTGGCACCAATGTTCTTGTACTTGTCCTTCAGATCAATGCTCTTTGCCACCGTCACGCCATCCTTGGTGACCTTTGGACTGCCCCAGCTCTGCTCGATGATGACAGTGCGACCCTGAAATGAGCCAGAAAGTTGTGAGATGAAAAGTTCTGCACATATGTTTCACAAAGACAAATAATCACTTTCATCTCCAGTATTTTCTTAAGTCTATGCCATTTGTTGCATTGCAAGAGGCATTTAGCATAATGATTAATGCATTTTGTTTAACACTTGGCTGATGAAGGACTTAGGCTAGCATATCTGCTTTATTAGTCCAAATACATCTCAATTCTTTGCTGAAATTAAACCTGCTTTTGGCAAGAAATTCAGTGATTTCCCTTCTCTGCCTGTGGAGGGCAGGGTACCCCTTTGTGGCATCAAGTCAAAGTGTACAAATATCTAGCTGTAAGAGCCCCAGTTCTGCCCACCTTTTGTTCAAATATCTGTATTTATTAGTGCCAACCACTCAGTAAAGTTGGCCCAATGCAAGACCAGGAGCTGAAAGCCTACACCAGGGGTCGGCAACCTGCGGCTCTTTAGTCCTTGTACTGCGGCTCCGCGTGGTTTGGGAAAATAAATTAGAAGTATTTAGCTGAAGTGTATTATTTATTATTTATTTATGTTAGTTCTTTTTTTAACTTTTAGTTCTAAATTGGAAGATTATTGTAATATTGAAATGTAAAAATAAAATTATATTCTATTATTTTTTCATCGCTCAAAATAAGCGTCACACTCGCGGAAGCCAGTATACCCGCCGAAACGCTGTGCATTTATCGAGACTTTCAACCCCAGGTAGGCCAATTACGGATCTTCGGAGCCACATTATGTCAGCAGCTGTTCTCCACCGTGAACTATGTTAAAAACAAACACCGCTCATGCCTCACAGATGACAGCTTACAGTCCTGCGTAAAGATGAAAGTGACTTCGTACAGCCCCGATTTGCAGACTCTGTGTGCAGAGGTTCAGGAGCAGAAGTCCCATTGTAAACGTACCACGGCAGACCCGACGATGTTTCCGTGAACATGCTTTTCAGCATCTCTTTATTGACCACTTTTCACACACGGTTGCTGTACGCATACAGCCGGCTGTAGCTTTTCAGCTCACAGCCCGACACACACCAACACAACAGCAGAGCGAGCACAGACGTTGAGGTGGCAAGGTGTGATTGCGGGTGCAGCTCAGGTGCGTCTGCCTCCGCTGCAGCGGCGTTTCAGACCACGCCCCGCCACACACATTAACCAGGTAAAATACATATTTAGGCAGAATTTTGCAAATATCTATTTTTCATTTTTCAGCAGCATAATGCTTTTTTTTCCCCAATTAGATTTTAAAAGTCAGGTCAAGGCTCCAACAGCCCAAAGGCAATATAAGGGTGGTGGCTCACAACAGCTTTTGTTTGCTACATGGATCATTTTAGTTCAGCTGGGTGTCTTTCCTTTTGTTATATTTCTTTAAGAGTTCAAAATGTGTTAATTACATTAATAAAATGTGATTTTCTCTGTAGCACTTCGTGGATTTCATAAGCAACACACCTTAGTTGTTCACACAAAGCACAAGGTAAAAAACAATATATACAGTGTTATCTTCATTTTAGATGTCAAAACGTATTAGCGGCTTCCAGTGTTTTCTTTTGTGTGGAAACGGGCTCCAAATGGCTCTTTAAGGTTGCTGACCCCTGTCCTACACCAACACTCAGTGTAAGATATCAAGGATCTTTCTGTACAGTCTCCTAGAAAACTGGTCTAATATTCAAGAAAAAAAAATAAAAAATAAAAAAAAAAAAAAAAAAAAAAAAAAGCAAAGGGGGTGTTACCTTTGGGCCCATGGTGACAGCCACGGCATCAGCCAGCAGGTCCACTCCCTGCAGCATGAGGGCACGAGCGTCAGCCCCAAACTTCACATCCTTGGCGTAGGCTCGTGTGAGGTGGGGAGCCAGCGCGCGGCTCACAGGCCTCACCTGCCTCATGACTGTGGCTAAACGAAACATGTCTGTGGGAGGAAAACACAGGTTAGGCCATAATGATGACTCCAAGTATCCCAAAGTTTAATTACATTTCTTCGCATATGTAATACGTACACCCCTAGTGGCCGCAGACGGCATGACATGAGACTTGTGTATGAATGAATAAAGGAACATCTCCAGTTGTACTAAACAACAAGGGGGCAGAGTCCCCTGGACTTATCATTAATCTGCAAGTTTAATGGTTTTAAGTGTTACCAATACTGGTTTTGGCCTGCCTACCTACATATTAAAAGTAAAGAGAGGTGCAGCTGAATACATTTTATTAATAGTTGAACAACACAATCTGACAGCTAGAATATCTGAAAATGTGTCAATTAAGTGGTTGAAACTGGAAGATATTTCATTAACCTCCTAAGACCTGAACTCTTCCACAGCATGCATTTTTAATTTCTCTTTGATATTTGGACATATTGGGGCCCGATGAATGTAAAAACAAAGAATAACTAGTTTTGTTTTTTTTAAACACCTGATTTTTGTTTCTAAGAAAAATGACAGCCACATGAGGATATTCGATTCAAATTTTGATAGAACAGTAGCAGTGTAATGTCCTTGTAACAAACGAACAAACCAAAGAGAGCCTGGAACATTCTTTAACATTCATTAAGGGGTTAGTAAAAATGACAAGGTAGCCCCAGAGCCAACCTGTTAAAACCAGTTAGGAAAACCTGTCAGTGACTTCAGTCAGCCAGATCACACCGGCTTAGCGAATAATGACCATATTTTAATCATTGAGTAACATATCAATTATCAAAAAGTAGAAATTGTAAATTATTGGGTACTGCAAGAACAACAAGCTATTACGAGTTTAAACTGTGCAGCAGTAGTATGCAAGAGCCCCTTGTCGGTTATCGGCGATTTTTAAATGGGGTTTACAACCATGGATTGTTATTAAGGTCTAAGGACCACAGGATTGTAACCCCAGATAATCCATGTTTTTAAAAGTCGTGTACAACACCACCCCCGCGACTTTATCCCCATTCTTGTTGTAATTACTTGAGGTTAAGCTGTATTTAAGCTACTGAGCGACCAATAACCATAGTAAATTCAGTGCAGATGAATATAAAAAAATCAATTAAGTGTAACTACTTCAAAATATGTGATAGTTGACTAAAAGATGTTCTAAATGCTTGAGTCTCTTGACTGTTAATTCTATGCGCATTGACCGTGACTGGATTAAGAAACGTCCACCCCACGCGTGCGCTCTTCAGGTCGTGCGTCACAAGGTCAAATTTGTGAAAGCACGTGTGGAAGTGCTTTCTCCATCCCTGCTCAGCTCATACACGGTCTCACTGCGAGGTTTTAACTGCATTTAATCACTCGCTATCTTCCTCTTACTCCATACGAGCAAAGCACATTTAACAGTCGAGACAATACACTTACGAGGAGAGCACAGAGACAGCTAGCCTGTCGGTTAAAGTCTGTAGTCACACTCGTGTGTCCTTGCAGTTAGAAGGGGAAGAAATATGTTAGCGCGGAGCTATCAAACTCGAGCCTCCTGAGCAGCATGCGCAGAATGTACTCTACATAAAAGCTAGCGCTATTCGCGAGTATTCGGGCTGTAACGTAAACTGAGTAGCTTCAGACACTTGCAGCAGTGTCCACACTTACCTGTGAGTTGAGGTAAAGGCTTGCTGCTAGCCGGTCTGCAAGACGGAATGCTATAACGACTGGAGGAGAGAACAGTCGTGTGGAGTAACGGAGACAGAACTGCACATGGCCTAGCACATCCGGGTTATGTACCGGCCCGCCCAGACTGTGTATAAACCATAACTACCTAATAAAAGTGCTCTTCTTTTAAAATTCATAATGACGTGCGGGCACACGATTACTTGAATTATAGTTCTCGATAAAATAAAGTCAAAACAGTGTGTAAAATAGGCTAGTTAGGATAGAAATATGTAGAATTATAAATTAATGCTCGTTCCTGGGCAAACGGTTCCAGAATTTTCTGGCGTGCCATTGGCGGAAAAAAAAGGGTCAAAGTTGACATTGTGCAACATTGCCTCAGCTCGGAGTGTTTCAAAGACAGAAAAGTCACTAAAGCAGTTTTAGAAAATGTCCCGTACATGTTTTGCTTTTATTAAATAATGTGTGAGCTTTTTAAAAAATATTTTGATGTTGGCCTTGGGTGTACTAGAACTTTCCCTTGCGCCTGACGAGTTCAGGGCAGGTTAGTGCGCATGCGCATTCTGGATATTTCTTCACGTGGAGCTATCCTTCAGCGTACCATATTCACGCTCACCAAGGATTCGGGGTGCAGATTCACGCCGGCTCTCAGACCTCACACACGTCCAGAAATGGTAAGGTGCCTGGTTAATTTAAAAAAGGCGAACAAAAAACGAGCGTCAATCACCGCCGAGTTCTTTGATATAGGTGACGCAGTCAGTAGACGGTTTAAATAAACTGACCAGCTTTTAGTTATTCTTAGCCGCATGTTAGCTAAAGTGAACATCAGTGACAAGGTCACGCTGCAAGGGAGCTAAGAATGAGCTTAAACAAATGCACGTTTGTCTTAATGGCAAGCCACAAAGCCTAAAACTAGATGAGGGATCATAAGACCTGTATACAAGTACAGCTATGAGCGCACTGTTAGCTGAAGTAAAAAGGTAAGTAATTGCACTTAGTGTAGCCATTTATTCATTCATTCATTCACACACACACACACACATAAGGTGCAGCAAGTTTGCGTTTACCGTCAAGCTCAAGGTCACAAACCTCCAGGCATGAGATTTAGTGAGGAGCGACATGCAGTCCCATTGTTCCTGCTGAACTACTACTGACATCATGGCCTCTGAGTCAGGAGCAGCGGAAGTTTCGTTTGCTTGAAAGTAGTTTTTACAGCAGCATCCACTCAGATTGCATTCAGGACAAATGAGGTACTCAAGTACTTTATCCACCGCATTTGAGGAAAATTGAGTGCTTTTTACTGCAGTAAATCTCTTTAAAGGCTTATCAGTGTAGAGGGAGTTATACTTGTCTGTACACATTTGCTTTGGAAAAGTTGCATCACCCCTGTGTAGAAACATTGTCACAAGTAAAGGTAATGCCAATATTTAAAAATGTACGAAATCAAAAGTACTCATTGTATAGAACAGGTTACTACTAGAATAGAGTCTTGCCACTGGTCAGCCATCTTGAAATGTTATGAGACACTTAGGTGGGTAGTTCTTTTGAACCCTTGTTTAAGTAGAAACCATGTCTGCCAAAACTAGATCCTCAACTAGCTTGATACTCAATTTAAATGTAGATGTCTAGTATACATCTGGTTTTCTCGTCAGGTCATAAGCCAATCAAAACACTATCAGTGGCTAAAGTATAAGGAGAAAAGTTGGTGCATCTGACAGAAATGTGGGGCTAATCATAATGAGCTTATGCAACTTGTTAAGAACTTTGTGAAAACTGCTTCGTCTGGCCTTGGATTTTATCTGGTACCAGTGAGCAGGAGGATGTTTGATCCAGGCTCAGTGCTGATTGATGTTGGTTAGTTTGTTTTATCAGTGGAGAGGTGAAGAGTCCTTGGCCTGGACCCCTCAGACATAGTGTGGAAGCTCCGCCTCCTTTCCCTACTTATCAAACTGGGACCAGTCCCACTCCATCGCCCTCCTCCATCACAGTCACAAATGACCTTTACTGAAGGTCACTCATGCAGTTGCTTTTAAACAAATGTTGTCCTTAAAGTCGTGACAGAAAAAAGTTGATCAGTGTCTCTTTGAAAGGCTGCACAGCTGCTGTCCTCCCTCGTGATTTCAGACTCAAGTAGATAAGTGAGGAAAAGTTAATTTTCAGTTTAGCGGAAACTGATTGACAAAGGCTGCCTCTGTCGCTGACCTCCACCCGCTTTCTTTAACTCAAACCCAGCAGTTTATTATTCACTCATGCATTATAACCAGCACGTTTCTGTATTAACTTACAGCTTGACTTAACTGTAAGCATGTGAAGCACTGAATCTAGTTAATGTTCACATTTTAAAACCTTTGCAGCAAATCTGTGTGTGTACAGATAACACATAAGTCAGGGGAGTGGGGCGTGTTACACAAGAGAGCCAACTTAAAAGTTTGGAGTCAAATTTGTAGGATTTTTCTTTTCCTCCAACTTTTATTTCTAATGATGAATCATTAGCTGCCCAGTTCACCTAAACATAGTGTGATAGTCGTGCTAATATGTCCTGTCTTTGTGTGGTCTCCAGGCTTTCAGAAAATTCCTTCCTCTGTTTGACCGGGTGCTTGTGGAGCGCTTCACAGCAGAGACGGTAACAAAGGGGGGCATCATGCTGCCAGAGAAGTCTCAAGGCAAAGTGCTGCAGGCTACAGTGGTGGCAGTCGGACCTGGCTCTGTCACCCAGGTAAGCATACATGGCATAGCTGCTACAACAAGAGTGTATGGTTTTTGTTTTATTTTATAAACTAAAGCTTGTTTTAGCAGTTGGTATTAAATTACATGAAAATCTCACAATTCACAATACCATTAATAAAAACAATAATTAAATTAAGAACTCTTAAACAGAAACTTTATTCCCCTCCAAAACAAGACAGTTATGAATCAGTATATCATGCTTGAGATGGATTTTACTTTGAAAAGATTCCAATATTATAGTTATTGCTTATCCTTCAGTGTCCCTGATTGGGTTTAAAGCAGGGGTGGACAACTCCAGGCCTCGAGGGCTGGTGTCCTGCAGGTTTTAGATCTCACCCTGGGTCAACATACCTGAGTCAAATGATTAGTTCATTACCAGGCCTCTGGAGAAGTACGAGAATTGTTGAGGTCATTTAGCCATTTGAATCAGCTGCGTTGGATCAAGGACGCATCTAAAACCTGCAGGACCCCAATCCTTGAGCCCTGGAGTAACCCACCCCTGCTTTAAAGGGTTAGGCTGATGCAGCATAATTCTTTTTATGTGCACGACTCTTATTTCTGTATACACAGTTGCTCCTGCAAAAGCAAAACTGTTCAAAATAAAGTCTGTTATAGTTTTTACAATTTCTGGTTTTAGTTTTCTGAAGGTGCTGCACCTTTAAATATGATGCATTAAGAGAATAAAATCTGGACTTTACTATTTCCTGAACCCTGGTTACAGAATTGGGTTAGCACTGCTAACATAGTCAGTGTCTGGTTGACCTTCAGACCTGATCTAACCTAACCTAGGATTTTTCTCTCAATGATGCATTTGAAAACTGCAGTAAAAATGTATCTCTAAATACACAGTAGTGAACAGGACTCCTGCTGAAGCACAGATCCTCAGCCATCTGCCCTTTAAAAAGCTGTTAGGATCAGGGAAGCTACGTGTCATGTGACCATCCACTGCATGACTGTATTTTCTTGTAAATTATAGGGTGAAACAAAAACAGATTTTTATTGATTTTTAAATATAAAAGACTCAGTAACAACTGTGGTGTTACTTCATGCCTAACATGTTTTTCTCCTTCTTTCAGAAGGGAGAAATCCATCCAGTGAGCGTTAAGGTTGGGGAGAAGGTTCTTCTACCAGAGTACGGTGGGACTAAAGTCATTTTGGATGACAAGGTGCGGTGCAGTTTCCTCAGACTCCGTCCACACTTTTGTGCTGAAATTAGTTACATTTTTTCTTGTCTTTTCTCCCATAGGACTATTTCCTGTTCCGTGATGCAGATATCCTCGGTAAATATGTTGAATGAGTCGCCAGTCCTCATGTAAAGTCCCTGACATCCCCGGAGAGAAGAAATTAAGTTCATTCATGTCTTTCTTTTTTTTTTTTTTTCTTCTTTGTTCCTGTAAATAATTCTAATCATGTTTTGTTACAATAATAAAAGTGAAGACTCATTGTTGGGCTTTTCCTTTGACACACCTCCACCTGAAACTGTGTGATACTTGTGTAATCTTGGCAGAAGGAAAGTTTAATAGGCTTTTGTTCACATAAAGAAAAAAATGCAAGCACAGAAAAAGCTAAACACAAAAGGTGCTGCTATAACTTTTAGCTGTTTTGGTTTTGCTGTAGTTTAGGTTGGCAGAGGGTGTTGTAGTTTCAGATGGTGTTGCTGCACTTCAAGTGATTGCTTTAAACCTTTGAAATCACAGTAAAACCCCAGCATTTAGTAGTATAACATTTGTAACCATAGGGTTAACGTGGGCTGGAACCAGGAATGATGTAAAGTTTCTGTATTTTCAAAGCAGAGAAGAAACAAAAACGAAACAATGTGCGACGCTGAGAGATGGAGAAAGATCTGCGTAGCTGAAAGGGAAATGAGAAATTATGTTCAAAAGTAAGGACTGCACAATAAGTTACATCTGCTAAAGTGGAACCATACTGTTCTAATTAATGTTTTTAAATCAAATATCGAACTTATATATAATGTACTGATGAATGTGGTTTTGTGGAAAATAATGCAAACCAGACGTATATTCATTTTTGACTCATTTGAACTTCAGGCAAAACTGGTTAGTTTGTAGTAAAGTATATATTAGACCGGTACAGAGCAGACCAGTTGTTCATGGTTAATACTAGGTTATAGCAAGGGTAGCAGATATCAATCTATATTTAAGGTTATCTATTAGATTCACCCACTAAATTCTCACTTTTATTCTAACTTTCAAGTGTGTTTGGGTTGGGAAATCAGCCACATGCACCCTGAAATACCTGCTTATATCTTAAATGCATATGCCTAAACCCACAACGAGCAGTGCATGTGGAAGGAGCAGCACAGATCAGCTGATCAAAACAAATTATTTATTTCTAAGGAATTCTTTTCTCAGCGTTACTAAATTCGATTTTAAGGTTTCCCAACCAGCCAAATCCCACTTGAGCCTGTAACTAAGGGACCCATGACACAGAAAAACATACAGTAAAACGAAAAACTACAGATTCCTAACTAAATCACAGCGCCTCTCTTTGTAGACAAAGTGAGTAAGCTGGGTTTCCTTATAATTCAGACTTTGAGGCAGTGCACCCAGATTTCATGCGTAGCTGTAAAAACATTAAACACTGTTTTTGGTGTTTGTCAGGTTGGTCTGTGTCTTTCTCATTGGCACTTTGCAGGTATGCGAACCCCCTGCATATTGGCTAAAGAAGAGTGCCCTATCACTGATACGGGTCTCCTTACATAAGAATGAAGTTTGAGCCTCTTTGTGTTACCGTATCCGCTCAGCAGCTACAACACCGCGGCTGACGAACATCCGGGTATTCTGTCGAGATGGTCATGGCGGAGGGTACTGCAGTTCTCAGGAGGAATCGGCCTGGAACCAAGGCGAAGGTGAGTTGTGGTCTGTAGAACCACTCCAGCATGAGTACAAGAACCCTCTCCGCGGCTGGGAGAAGCTGCGTCTGTGATGCTGTACAGCATTATCGTCCTCATTTTCGCGACAACTTTGTCGCAGACAGCGTATAGGAAGGGCCTGACCTGGAAATAGCCAGCTAGCTAAGATTAGCGGTTGCTCCGTCTAGTTCCTGGAGTAATGTTAGCGACTCTTGGTCCTGCTTTCCCTGTTCTGAATAAGTGTTCGGCTTGAATAATTCCTTCGCCAGTTTGATGATACATTTTTACACATACCTCGATCCACGCGTCCGAGAAAAATTGTTAATTTCGCCGGAGCTTTGCAGGAAATAGTCATATCCCAATAGACGATACATAACTATGTAGCTAGCTATCTGCCTTCGGAGCTCAGAGTAATGTAGGAAAACTATGGCTGTTAACTTAGGTACTAACGTTTTACCCTCCGAAAAACTTCACCTGTCACCGACAGTTTGTCATCCCGTTACCCCCCTCTCCGTGTGTGTCATATATGATTTATAAACTGCCAGGATTGGCAATTTCTTTTCATTTTACGTCAGATGACAGTCACATTATATAGACTAGCTTTTGGATAACTGGCGATACATTCCAAACACTGAGTGCACACTAATACTGTCCTTCTTCATTGTGCAGGATTTCTACAACTGGCCAGATGAATCATTTGAGGAGATGGACAGCACCCTGGCTGTCCAACAGGTGGGTTAACATTTCGTGTGTGTGTGTGTTCCCCACTCAATTTTAGACTGTCTGGTGCTGCTGTCTTATCGCTTGAGCTTAAAGTTGCTCAAATTAGACAAGAATTTGACTACATAGAGCTCGGAAATCGCAAAGCATGTTGATAGGCACCATGTTGTTCACATAAACAAAACAAAGTTAGATCCTAGCAGGCATTAGGGAGGAAAACGGGCTAATGAATTTAATGTTGCACTGTAATAATAACCTTATGTTTACTACGTACTTTAACTAAACTGTACTGTGAGTCTGAAGAATGAGTCATTCAGATGCATAGCAGTTTTGGCTTTTATTATGGCAGGTCGTGTCATTGCAACATTTTGTGCTGTGGTGTAGCACCAGCTGCAGGAGCTTTTTTTTGTTCTCCACTGATACCAGTCATTGATACCACCTTGACTTCTGTGTGTTCACTTTCGTAGCCCGGCCACGATCACACTATCGCAGAATCTGTTTTTCAAAATCAAAGCATGAAGACTTTCTTTGATTCCAGCTATGCTGCCAGGTAGCTACAACCCAGATAACTGACACACCTAGGGTGTGTAGCATAGCAACAGCCCTACAGCATGTAACCACAACAGTTAAATATAGTGTAATTATAACTTTGTGGTATGAAATTCCTGTGATCACACTAACATATTTTTCAAAATGTTGTTGAAGGTGATACGTTTCCTTCTTCCAACTGCTACCCAAGCCAAGCTCCTTGTTGCTGCTTCCTGTCTGGAAAAGGGTTTCCATTCTAGTCACATGTGCTGTTTTGTCATTTTAAAACGTTTTAAATGTTTTAAAACGTTTATATATTCCATTATCAACTCGAACTTGCTTGAAAAACAATCCCATTATGCATTACATTAGTGATGTCACAATCCTGAGCTCTATATTCGGTCAGTGTAAATGTTGTTAAAGGTTTAAAAAACTGTGGGGGGATTTCACACTCAACCTAGTGAAATGAGTTTATATGTATAGTAGAATTTAAAACCAAACTTTTAACCAAAGAGCTCTCTAGGTGAAACTGGATGAAGTCCTGACACAGAAAAACATTGAACTGAGGGTCAGTGACTTTAATCAGCCGGTTAAATTTGACATTTTTGACTGTGCTTGCAGGCATCATGTGTTGTCTTTACATGCCTTTGTCGGAACATGATTTTGAGACAGTTTGCCGTGTTTGCTGCTTTTTCTGACTTTAAGTAACCAAAATCTCTCCAAATTCCTCTGTGCCTTCTTTTAAGCAGTAGGGTTAGCACTGTGAGCTTTGGATTATGAGCTGTGCTTGTTGTGACATCTTGTTTTTAATAATGTTGTCACTCAAGTTTTTCTCAACATTTCTGTTGTTATTTTCTTTTTTTCCATCTGACTCACTCCTAACGTACCGGTGTGGCTGACAGTAGCCCAAACATTTACACATGTGCTGCTCTCTGCTGTGTGTGTCAGCCTACCTGGTGCGGCTCTGACTTTATTCCAAACACATTATTGGTTTGGTGCGGCACTGTTCGCATTGTCATTGGCCTTTCGTGATGTATGAACACATTCACTGTGTGTTCATCATGTGTCAGGTGATGAAAGTCAGACTGGACCGTAAGTGAGAGTCTGTACTAATGTGTGTGTTTTCTCTGTGTCAGTATATTCAGCAGAACATCCGATCGGACTGCTCCAATATCGACAAAATCCTGGAACCTCCTGAGGGTCAGGATGAGGGCGTGTGGAAGTATGAGCACCTCAGGTAAGAAGTCTTGGGGCACATATTTCTAAACAGGATCAGAGCTGCAGACAAGCATTTATAAAATGTCCTTTTATATTCTGGCAGCTCCTACACAGTATAGCAAATATATACTGTACTTTTTGTTTCTAAAACATGAAATGTTTTGCAGGCTTCATTAGTTCTGTGTTCAGTCCTGTGCTTATTTCTACTGCGTGCAATCAGTTTTTAGTAACATCTCTGAAGAAATTATTAAATTAAGTTGAATATGTAGACCAGTGCCGTTTCTAGAGATTCTTTGAACCAGTTCTTTGTTCAGATATGAGGAGCTTTCAGATAAAAAGAAAGTGAAGTATAGGCGATCGCTACTTGCTTAAATCTTGTGCTCACAGTTGGGCTAAAACCTGGCTGCAGAAGAAAAAATCATGTGATCAGAGGATATTTTGTTTTAACTCTGCTTTCATTGGATCCTTTTGTAGGCAGTTCTGCCTGGAGCTCAACGGGCTAGCTGTGAAACTGCAGGTGAGTACACTAAATCACCACAAACTTTCTTTGGTTATTTTGGGGTTTGAGCATTCTTTCGCCCCTAGAAATTCGCCTTAATCCTCTATAGATCCCGAATCAGGTCTCATTTAAGGTTTAAAAAAAATAGTGCAGTCTGCAAAAATGGTCATTGACACATAAGTCAGCAGCATGTAGGCTTGCTACTCTTTGTAAACCAGGAATATTTCTCTCTAGTGCAGAACGGTTCAGGAATATCAAATAGTTGGTTTAGTAAGAGACTGTTAGCTGCAGTGATTTTGGTGTTTCTGCCTGCAGAGTGAGTGCCATCCAGACACCTGCACCCAGATGACAGCCACGGAGCAGTGGATCTTTTTATGTGCTGCCCACAAGACACCCAAAGAAGTGAGTCAAAGCTTCCAGCTGTCACTCAAGCTTTTCAAGCAGCTGCTCTCACATTGATGGGTTTGTGTTTGTTTTGTGATGCGGCTGCTTCCACAGTGCCCTGCCATCGATTACACCAGGCACACGCTGGACGGAGCTGCCTGCCTTCTTAATAGCAACAAATACTTCCCCAGCAGGTCAGTCGTTTTCCATTAAGCAGCTATAATTTATAGAATAGTATCAAATCAATTTCAGGTCATTGTTTAGCTGCTAAGCTGAATAACCAGACTGTTTCTGTTCACTCTTAATACTCTTGAGGCATCATTTTCAGCAGGCATCCGATTTCAGTATCCAAGCTCCAAAAGTACTCTTCAAGCTTCAAATTGACTCCAATAGGTGCTTCTACTAAAAAATCTCAGATGATTTAAAAAATGTGACCTCGATCTAAAGGTCAGAGGTCAAGTTCTCTAAAAACCCTTGTGAATGTGACAACTTGAGAACGAGGGGGGGATGTAGGATTTTTCAAATTCATACCACAGGTGTGTATTTTATTAAAAGTTATGCACAACTGTATTACTTTAAATTGCTGTTTGACAGGTATCAGCCACCACAGACATGACTTGATTACATGAGAGACGGAATAAAGTGTTGGAGGTGGGGTGGTAGTGGGTTGTAAAGTGGCTTTCATGTGCGCACACTGTAGACAGGCTAAAGCACATTTATTACAGTGCCTTAGATGAGGTTGGATTTGTATGGAGAAAGTAATGGGGCACCTATACATTTCACCAGCAGCTGCTCAGCTATGGAAACCCATGCTGTGATGCTCCCAGTGCACAAGCTAAATCACCACTGGTTTGTGTCTACAGGGTGAGCATCAAGGAGTCATCAGTGGCCAAGCTGGGCTCTGTTTGTCGTCGCATCTATAGGATATTCTCTCATGCTTACTTCCATCATCGCCAGATATTTGACAAGTATGAGGTAGGCGTTTACAACCTTTGCTTCCCATCGCTCTCTGGTTGTTGCTGTCAAGCTAGAAATTCTAAAATGTGATTTTATTTTTTCCTTCCTGGTATATGGATTTGTTTTTTCTTTTTGCTGTTACAGAAATCAAACTTGAAGAGGTCATAAAGACTGTTATAGTCTCTCTTGTATTTTTAGTGTGTTCATCATTGGTTTTAAGTAAATGTGCTCTGTTCTAGTTAATTTTTCCCCATTTCATTTCCATTTCAATTGCTAAATTGATTGTAACAAAACATAGAAAAAGTGAGGCATTCCCCATCTTTGAGTGACTTCACACAATAAACTGTGGATCAGTTCTCTGCAGAAATCTAAATGATGCTTACGAACAATCACAGTGCTTTACCTCCACTGTGCTCGGTGGCAGCAAACTACACACAGACTCCACGTCAGTGCATCAAATCAAACTTTTAGCCTTTTAATGGTGACACTGGTGAGCAAGCACGTTAACGTTAGCCAGCTAGCTGCTGCGTGGGATATAAGCAGTTTGTTCACAATAGCTTAACAAAAGACTATTTATACAAGTCCATAATGTCTAAGGAAAGAGGAATTTGAATGATGTGTCAACTAGTTACCATCAGCAGGGCATCCCATCCAAGGAGGGTTATTTTGAGTTTTTCTTTTCAATTATTTGTCGACATGTCCAAATCACAACTCTGAAACTGTAAGTGAAGATTTAAGATTTGCACATTTGTCTTTTTTTAATCACAGTTCTCCTCCTACTTCATCTGCCTCACCCACCACTGCTGTGTCCTCCCTTATTTCCACCTTATCTCCTGAACTCAAGTCACGGCTCCAACATAAGAAAATGTACATAAACATGTCTATTTATTACAATATTGTTACAGTTTTTGTCAGAAGATGAAACATGAGACCCTGCTGTAGCCAGCTGAACAGCTGGTTATAAGCTAACATTATGCTAGCTAATGTTAGGTTCAAGTGTCGTTAAAAAAAGAAAGAGAAAGAAATCACTTGTGATAAGCTGTTTGATTATTCTTTATTTATTTATGAAGTGTTTGAAGTGAATTCAGCAGCAATGGCAGTAGGGCTGGGCGATATGGCCTAAAATCCATATCATGGTATACTTTGAAGCATGTGTGGTAACAACATATCGCGATATAGTCTTCTGTATAAAGTATTTTACACACTATAAGGCGCAGTTACAAATCCTTTAATTTCCTCAAAAATCGACAGTGCACCTTATGTATGAATTCTGGTTGTGCTTACTGACCGCAAACCGATTTTATGTGGTACATGGCGTGCAGAAATCTGTCAAAAATGTTTTAGTCTGACTTTGGTAAGCTATGAAGCCACACAGCTTGATGGATTGGTGGAGCATTACGGCTACCGTAGTCAGGAGCCTCTCGGAGTAATCTGGGTCCAAAACTACGTCTACTTCAGGTCCCAAAGTCAAACGAACACTGCGGCATCACTGAGAGTTAAAAACTGTTTCTTTCATCTTTAATAAAATGATCAGCGTTGCTGCTTTACCAGGTGCAACAATTAAGTTTAACATCCAGACGTCCATGAAAACAGGATTTATTAAATTTAGTTAGAGTAGAGTTAAAAGTTATCAGGAAGTTAGCTCTCTAGCTTCCACCTAAACATGATATGGCATGTTCTGACAGAGATTTCTGAAAAAATTCAAATGTACAGCTCTGCTATCACTTCCAACATAAATGAAGACAGAAAACTAAACAGCAGTGACATTTGTAGGGTTACTGAAGTTGGGCTAGCTGGTATATAATGATGTGCTACGTGATTGTAGCGTCAGAGCTATGTTAGCATAGCATTAGCACAGTGAAGCTGGAGGATGAACGCTAACTTTTTTCCACTCAATAAAAGTTAACGTGAGGGTTCCTGATGGTTAGGGACAAATGCAATTGCATGGCAGGATGCTGTAAACGGACCAAACTTCTACCGTGTACAGTTTATACCGCCCAGCCCTAAATGGCAGCATGCTTTGTTCTCTGCCATCATGAGGATTAAGGTTCATATATGCTTATTTCTCAGAAAGTAAGAGGAACGTGATCATAGGACAGGAGTGTGTTCTGAATCCATAAAGTAGAAACACACAAATGCCTCTCACCGTTCAGCTTTAGAATAAAACATTTCCAGCAGTGGAGTCTCGTGGTCTGTTTCCAGCCTCTTATAGAACACTGAACTGGTAACACACTGGCTACTGTGATCATTGCTACATATGTCTGTGTGCAGAATGAAACGTTCCTGTGTCACCGGTTCACACGCTTCGTGATGAAGTACAACCTGATGTCCAAGGACAACCTGATCGTTCCCATCCTGGAGGAGGAAGTGCAGAACACCTCTTCAGCTGGGGAGAGCGAAGCCTAAGAGACAGCTCCTGCTGCTGCCACCATAAGGGAGACACATGTAAACATATTTCTACATTACAGAGGAGACTCATTCATTACACACACACACACACACACACACACACACACACACACACACACCAGTGTATTGAGGCTCCCGTCTAGTAACACTGTCCATGTCCCTCCTCCCCAGTCACCTGTATCTCTAAAAGGATGTAAGGGTAAAGATGACCAGGAGCAGAGTTCAGTCATGCCTGCAGGACACAATTATTTTTTCTATTTCCACTCAGAGGTTGGGGGTACAGCCCTGCTCTCACTTCTCCTGTAGAGAAACCCTGTTCATAATCCCGCATGTCCACAGGATCCAGCTTGTGTGCTCACGGCTCCGTGGCTGCTTCCCAGCACGCTGGAGGCATTTAGTTTTCCAGCAGATGAAAACACTCATTTAGATCAATTGTGGCTGTACTTGAATTTAATGACCCTCTGTGCCTCTTTACTTCACTCGCCCACCAGTATAGCCCATCTCAGATTTATCTTCACTATATTTAGAATAAAGGGATAAATTTTTTGTTTTTTAGCACACATGAGCACCTATAATCTTATTTTAGATAAGAAATAAAGGAATCATAAATACCGTGTAAATAAGGACAACTTTAACAGCATTAACCATGAAAGCTTAAATACTGATGGGGGAACTGCAGTGTGAAAGGTTTTACCCTCCAGCAGTTCCTGATTAGAGGAGCATTCTTCAGATTTGAAGGAAATATGCAGCAGCTTTAAAGCTTGCAGTCAGTGTTTTGTATGGTTGGCTAACGTTTTAACGTTTGGAGCCCTTTTTAGTTCCCACACACTTTGACTGTCTACGTTATAACACCTTGTACTGAGCATAGAACACGAAGCAGTTCTTGCAGGTATTCATCCATCCTCAGCAGCGATGGAGCCGTGACACCACGCTGCCTCTCGCTCTGGACATCGCAGGCTAATCTTCCTCAGGCAGCTGGAAAGCAGAAAGCCTCTGTAACTATGGTGACCTGTATTGTTGAGAAAGGCCCACACTGACAGCTCTCCCTCCTTCTGTGTATATAAACCCTCTGCCACTCCTCCCCGTTTAAATTCACTCATGTTTTCTGTGCACTTTTCTCCTGACTGCTTCTGTTCTTTTTGCTTGTATTGCCTACCAGTCTGATTTGGGGGTGTCCCATGAGATGGATCACTAAATTAGCCTGCTGACTTAATAATGCTATTAAAACACAATGTAGGTGTGCGGTTCGTGTGGTAGTGAACAAAGAAAACCGTAATCTCTTAGCTCTGTATGTGTACTAGCAGTCAGATAGTCTCTTCGGCCTTTGACGTGTATAGGAAGGCTGTTTGGCTAACTCTGATCCTGCATCGTGACATGTCCCCACTTCATAATACTGTGTCCAGTGTGCCTGATGTTCTCATCTCCTGCAGCAGTGGGCAACGTTTGGCTGCTTTAAGCATTCAATAAGTCATCCAGGAAGGAGAGAACATCGGCCACATTTACATGTCGGAGCACAACCTTCTTTTACCCTCTCCCTCATTAAGTTATTTTGTGGGAGGAGCCTGATCCAACCCACTTTATTTTTTTTTATTGGACTAAAAAAATTTTTTGTTACTGTTGACATTTTCATGTCTGTTAATAAAAACAAAAAGACTATTATTCAGACGTGTGTGGTCGTGTGGTTAATCAGTGAGTCAGACATGGGAAATACTGTTTAATAAAAAATAACAGCCACAATAAAGGAAGGGAAATGTACAACTCTCGGAAAAGGGAAAAGCTAGAATATTAATACTGACAGTGAACACCCATTTAATACATTTCCATTCAAACTAAAACAGCACCTTATTTATAAAAGTCCTCAGATTAACCTGAAAGTTGATCTTTAAGGAGACCTGCTCTGCTTTCCTCATTTCCTGACGCACTGTTCTGATCATCGAGCTCATTAAACAAAGCAAACATTAACATAATGAGTTCAGGGTATGTACACGTTGGCCATTTCTACTGTTTGCTCTAATAAAGCCCCCTCAGGCTGCAAACACAGAAGCCCCACCCACCTGTAAACGCTTAACGAAGGGCAGCCAATCGTAATAAAGTTGGCTTAAAGGAAGCTAAAAGTGGCTTCAGACGGGATGAACTGAAGATCAGCGCTAATAAGAACGGTTCACTGGGAATAGTGCAATGTGACTGTTGAAACCAGTCCAAGATCAAATCTGAAAATGAGAAGAACAGGTCCGCTTAAAAGTCATTCCTGATTCATAAGGTCACTCCATATTTTTGTCCCAATTGCGTCCTATTATAAAGTAACTTCCCTTTATAAAATCCCAGAACAAACAATAGTTTAATCAGGAATTGGCATGGAAGCTCTCCCTCATCCTGAAATCTCAAATCTCCCTTCGAAAAATTAGTTTCCAGGGTCTTTTTTTAAAAAACATTTTGATACTATTCACACAACATGGCACCTGTTAGAAATTCATGTTTGTGGCATTTAACTCACATTTCTTGTATTTGTGCATCACAGACTGCAAACGACATCGATCGCTTCTATTTCAAAGCTCAGCTTTAGAAATGTTTTATATAAATGAGACAAATACACTTATCATCTAATATACTTATACACACACATGCACAACAGCAGAAAAAGAGCCCTCCATCCATTTAGGATGTGTGTAACACTGAATGTCTGGAAAGCAGCAGGAATATTAGCAGTACCTTTAAAATGAAGGAGGAAAAATAATACTTTTAAACACGATGAGCTGTATGAATGACTTCCAGAGTAATAGCTGAAAAAGCTGTAACATCTCAGAGAAATAGGCTTTTCTATACAAATATACTGTTTCAGGCACCTCGCTTTCATCATGTACTGGGGAGGCATATAGGTTAACTACATATCCGTACGGTGGCTCAAGTAGTTCAGTGACTTTTCTCTTTTTGTGTGGTTACCTGGTGAAACTACAAAACAATTGTGAAACATCATATGTGACAATAGAAACAAAACTTCAGTGGAGAGCTAAATATCAGATAAATGTATTCCAAAACATGTAAACTGTGTGATGATCTCATCATCAGAACTTGGATGTAATGAGCTGTGGGTGTAGCTCTGACTCAGACCATGTGCTCACCGACTGTATGAGTCGTCCTCTCTGACACTTGGAGTGACCAAACTTTACAAAGCAGAGCGTTTTCATCAGTATGATCCAAAATACGTCACTGAACTGGTGTTTATAGAGGTCCAAGCAGGGGGCTGTTTCCTCATAGACTTGTATAGGACCTGCAACCTTTGGTATCACCCCCTGGTGGCCATTAGAAAGAGTGCAGGTTTAAGGCACTTGTGTGTCTGCTTCACTTTTCAGACAAAGAAGCCACGCCCACCATTTATACCTGGTATGTTTTCAGCACAGAGCCTTCATCACAGCGTAAGAGCTACACACTGAAGTGGTGCTCCAGTTGCCCTGTGTCACGCACACCAACATCCCTCACTCTCCTCACGTCACACACCTGACAGACACTTCCAGTTCACCTTTAAACTCCAAATGCTCCCATCTCCTCCTTTCACACGTCAGAGCTGCTGCCCTGCATCGCCACGTTTTAGCGCAACACCTCCACCACCCCGGCATCTTCCTCGAGGCTCCAGGAGTCTTCCTCGTCGATTTTTATGAGCAGCACATTAGCAAAGAGAGAAAAGAACTCCGAGTCCAGACGCTGAACTTCTGCTGCTTTTCTGACTGAAAGTCAGTTATACACACACGCCAGCAGAAAGCGCACACAGCTGGGGCTTTAAACCAGTTATGAAAGAACAAGTCAAATTTTTACTGATCGAGCTCCATCGTGTACGATATTAAACCTAATAGAGCCACTGACACCACACAGTGATCACACAGGACGATGGCAGCCGCACCGAGCAGCTACATCCACACACTTCAAGCTGAGGTCACCGGTCATATGTCAAAGTCTGGAATGTGCTACTTTCTTTTTCCTTCCACAGTTTCTGGAATACATTTATTACTGACAACTGATTACTTGACTGAAGGATGTTGTCTCACTGATATATAAATCTAAAGCTGACATTCATGAACTTTCTCAGGAAACATGGACTTTAGAGGGCTGAAGTAAGAACAAGTAGGCCCTTTTAACCCAAACTGCCTGTGACTTTTTCCTATTATGTTTAGTTATAGTTCCACATCACTTTTTGTACTCTTTCTAAATAACTATAAACTAAACTAGATTTCTTCCTGCTTCAGTATGTTTCTGAGCTGTGAAGGAGCATAACTCCAGACTGTAAGCAGAAAGCAGAGCCCCGCTCCTTCAAGTTCTCACAATAACATTAACATATTTCCTGTGCTTTATAATACTGGGAGCACCTGTTATTAGGCGTGCATCACTCTGCACATCTAAGTCCAACCGTTTTCTCGTTATGGCTTCGTTAACAACATTTTCAAAGTGCAGAGCTCCTCTACATTAAAGTCTCTGTCAGATGGTGAATAGTCTGAACCTTCCACAGTTCATATCTCTTTGCTTGGGTACTTCCACCTGCTTACATACAGGTGACCTCAGCTTTCCCCTCGTCCTGCTCAAAGCCACCTTCCTCCATGTGGGATAGGGAGCTGGGGTACCCTCCACCGAACACTGGGAATCCCCCGATGCCTCCCGCAGGCAGAGCAAGGGTGTCTGGAGGGTCGGGGCTGCTGGCTGCCCGACTCACAGAGTGACTGGACACAGACTGGAGACAGAGAGGGACACCAGTCAGAACCCATAACAGACCATGAAATGACACAGATGGACTACGATTTAAAATAAAAATCTAAAGACAGATTTTCTTGAGGGCGGCTCTGCAGACTGGCGACTGGAATAAATAAAGCAGCTTCATGAAAACTACACCTGGAATAGTTTGCAGGTAACTGCTGTTTTGTTTTTCTGCCCTCCTACGAGTTTGCAGTACTACTGCAGTGAACTCCGAGTAGTACCGACTTTCTCCACCAGGGGGGGACTTTAGCCACACAGAGGATATTCCTGCTTATCCAACAGAGCCATTTTTCATTCATCTTCATCGGGGTGATGCTGGTAATACAGGTCAGCTCTTTACTTCCACTAAACACTGCTGCTGTTCTCCAGTCACAACATTAAATAAAAGCAATGTATACTTTCTAAAGAAAACTAGCATGTTTAGAAGTGCTTTCTTGAAAATCCCAAAGAAAAAACTCTTCAGCTTAATGTGAGGAAGCTACGCTGAGAGGTGGAATTATGAAATGTTGGCATGGGTAAGGAAATTAAAGGGAAATTTGCATCCCTGCTGGCGTCTGAATTTACAACCTCCTCACACACACTGTAAACCAAACTGACTTTGGGAAAGCAGGAGCACAACACTGACATCGCTGAGTGCAGTGATGTCTATTCTAGCTCTGTTTCGGGTCTCCACCTGCACCTGAGAGACTTATTAGCAACTGAAGTTGCTTAACATCCCAACGTGTTCACCAGCTCGCCTCTTTCACTGCTGCACAAGGCTTTTGTAGGTCTATCCAACAGAGAACGCTGATGCCAGATGCAGATTAAAGACCATTTAAACATTTGCTTAACGTTCAGCTGCCTCATCATGTTTCTTGGCCACAGCGAATGTGGAAAAGGTCTCACCTGGTTCCTCGGCTGTCCGGCTGTCTCACCTCTGACCGGCCTCTGGAGGAATACAACATGCTTTGTGGCCAGATTCCCGTCACTGCACACATCAACGGGAGCATGGTCAGAAATGAAACTGAAAAACATGTTTCAGGAGAGAAAACATCTTCAAAGCATCTTCTTCTACCTGTCGTGCCGGATGATGGGTGTGGGCAGCACGCACGTGAGCAGCCAGCCAAACTCAGCCAGAGTGTGGAGGAGTGGCCCGTAATCTGTTTTCACATTGGAGTCCTGCAGGAGAGCAACGTGTCCAGATATAACAGAAGGGCTCAGAAAAAGCAACCTCTCTGGCTAAGAGCCAGCCGTGAGTCTCAGTAAACACCACTTCTGGCTTGATTCCATGTTAACATTTGATTATTTTAGAGCAGGTCATTAAGGGGAGCCTTTGAGAGCCGGTTGCTCCAAAGCACACCTGCTTTAGGGGGCCAGGATCTGGTCTCTCAGGAGTTCCTTGGAAATGCGATGTAGTTATGATGATTGGTCTATACTGAGGAATGAAAAGCTGGCAATGATATTGTTTAGAAATGCTGTGGGGGTTTTCTCTCTCCATGGAGACACTGATAAAGTGGACAGCTGAGCTCAGAGAGCTGTGAAAGAACGACTGGATTGTGCTTAGTAAACAAAGAGTGTTTGGGAGTATTTTAGAGCCAACAAACATGGAAGAAGCTGCACAATTCTTTGCCTCTAGTCACATCCTAAGTGTATAACACTTCACACTGGACCTCAGCTCTGCTCTAAGGTGTCATGTCAGGGTCCTCAACCAATAAGCACAGCAAAGGTCTCAAACCTGTGGCTCCTGAAACTATTTTATTTAACCAGTTACTAACCTATGGAATAAAAATGAAATCAGTGGAAGAAACTACAGAATTTAACAAAAGTTGATTTCAGTTTCCAGACCGGATTTGCTGTGATGCTTTTTCTTCACTTTCATGCCTAAATATGTTTTGTGGCTCTGTGCTTTGCTCTTAACCGATCCCTGGT